GCAACTATTTATCTACACCCAATTTCAAACCTAAGATTTAATATTAGTGCTTAAACTAAGAGCTTCACTCGCAAATAATCACACACTACACCTTTTAGCACAATTTTGTTTTTTTATTTTATGAAATGACCATCAGTTCAGTTGATAGAGCACAAAGTTATTAATTTTAAGATCGTGGGATCGAGTCTTACATAAATCATTTCATAATTCGAAGGTCTCTTACCGAAGTTACTCTCAACTTACGTTGGGACATCTTACCTCCCCCATTACATATGAGCATATGAGAATAATGGTAAGCTAACATTGTTGGGAAGTTCCATACCAACCTTCAACTTTAACAACTTGATAATTATTTCCTTTGTCTTGGGATCTCTTTCGTTCCGGATAATTCTCTTAGCAAATCGTTACCCCCTTAGCTGTTATACTCTGAACCTTCTTAATAAACCCAACTGGGTTTTAGGCTTTCCTTCTTCAAAGACGATCGTGTTAAAAAAAAACATGATTCAGGGGAGTTCTCGCATACGCAACCTGGTTCGGGCTGCTTCTTTTTCTCAATCCAAGGTATGTTATAATTTTATTCCCTTTTTATAATATATCTATGACGTTGTTTGTTGTTCTATTCATCAGCTTCTACTGTTTTTATTTGCATGAAAACGTCGCTCCTTTCATTTCCAGTTTTCTTCCAGAGTATCTGGTACTATGGTTCTTCTTTGTCCATCGCTGGATTTTTATGATTCAATATATTTTTCATGTTTAAGTCGTCGTTTTACGAAAAAAATTGTATTTGTTACTTGTCCATTTGCTATTAGTCACTTGGTCTATATTTTCCTGAAATTTAACATCTGAAAGACAAGGTTGAGTTAGCTTCAACTTATGTTTTGTATTCCTGGCTTTTGTGCAAGGTAACTAATATGTTGTTTTCCCCCCAAAGAAATCAGAGGATGTAAACGTTGAATTTAGGCTCAAAAGGTACAACTAATATGTTGTTTTATACATGTTTATAGCTTGCAAATTACCGCGGGTACACATCTCAGGCTGCTGCTTCTCTGCAAATGGCTAGTCAACCATATGCTTAGAGGTAATCCCAGAAAACAGGGGATCCGCCATTTTCCCTACAAAATTGAGCTAAAATGTGGTTTTAGCCCGATAAAGTTTTTTCAAATTTTCACGGCTGTCAATTTGGTGTGGGCGTGAGGCAGTGTTCGTTTTTAGCTACAAAATGCATGTGTGTGCCTGAAAGGATTAATCTTCGTTAATGGATATTAAGAAAATCTTTAGTCCATAAAAAAATAAAAGACCCGAAGGCATGGGAGTCATCTTCATGAATGTTTTGGATAAGGAATAAATTATTAAACTATTCAATACTATCATGGTGATTATTAATTTATTGTCGACCATGCTGAATATTTTATTCCATTTCCTAACTTCATTTTTTTTCTCTAAAAAACTAATTTGAAAATAGTGACGATGAGTACGCTGATGTGGATTGGGATAAACTTGGATTTGGTCTGACGCCTACTGAATACATGTACGTAATGAAATGTTCGAAAGACGAAAACTTTAAAGAAGGGCGACAATATTGAAATAAGCCCTTCCTCTGGCGTCTTAAATTATGGCCAGGCAGGCAAGCACCCCTTTTCCCTTTTCGCCTAATCAACAAATGTGAACAAAAAAGTGCAGCTGACGACCGAACTGAAGAAACTTATGTAGTATTTCTCTACTAGCTGCTGCAAGATTGAACTTTGAGTCAAGATTTGGATAAAGAAGTTGGATATGAACTGCAAAATTATACCGTCACTGACTGAAAATATAAACAGTAATTAAAAGAAATAAATTCGTAAATCGTGTCGTGATAAAAATCACTGTCTTAAAAATAAATTATATCTCTCGGTTTATTGCATCATTGTTCAGCTGTTATAATTTTCAAAATTATATTAATTGAAATTTTTCATATTTTTCCATTTATTTCTTTTAAAGAGAAATTTTTCTAAAAAGATAGTATCAGCAAGGACGTGTCAAAGACACGTACGACCACGAGCCAAGACGGACGACGGCGGTGCGCGAGAGTCCTCTTGTTCTCTATCACTCAACAAGAAAGTGAGAAAGTCAATCCTTAAATATCATTCCCAATAATATTTCCAATATTATATGGGATTAGCATTACCTACAGAAGTTTTTCTTAAAGTTACTATTATATTTTCCCATTAGATCAGAGTGATCTAATTGATAATTCAGCTTGGAAAACTCTATCCAGGGCATATATGAAGGCACGAAAGCTTACAGGGCAGAGGATGGACGAATTCTTCTGTCCCGTCCAGCACAAAACGCAACTCGAATGAAGCATGGGGCTGAAAGAATGTTGATGCCATCACCTTCCATTCAACAATTTGTCGATGCAGTGAAAAAAACTGTATTTGCTAACAAGCGTTGGGTAAATTTAACTAAACTGTGCTTCTTTGTATTCTTGTTTCCCCCCCCCCCCCACAAATATTACTCAATTTTCCTTACAAATTTATGAATTGATTCCGTGATTACGTGCAGATTCCTCCACCAGGAAAAGGGTCACTGTATGTTAAGCCTCTGCTTTTGGGGACTGGTCCTATTTTAGGTTTGGCACCTGCTCCGGAATATACATTTGTTGTTTATGCTTCCCCTGTCCGCAACTATTTCAAGGTGGGTTTCTTTATAATTCAACCTTTTTTCCCCCCCTCTTTTTCAACCCTTGGATTTCAAGAAGAAAGGCTTATTTATGTTGTGAATATCTGTAGTCAGGAGGGTACTTCACCTTTGAACTTATATATTGATGAAGAATTTGTTCGTGCTTCTCCTGGAGGAGCTGGAGGCGTCAAGTCAATCACAAATTATGCTCCAGTATGCAACATACTTGCATTTCAATGTTGGAATCTTGATTTTATTTTTTACTCTATTTTCTTCTAGTGTAAACTTATTATGCTATTGTTACAGGTTCTCAAAGCAATAGCCAGAGCAAAAGAAAGAGGATTTTCTGATGTCCTGTACCTTGATGCCATGAATAGGAAGTATCTGGAGGAAGTCTCATCCTGTAATATTTTCATTGTGAAGGTATTGATGGATTTTGAATGAAGACTAATTATTGGTTTCTCAGCGCTTCAACTAACAAACCTTAATGACCACCTTTATAGGGAAATCATATTTCGACTCCTTCTACAAATGGAACTATTCTTGCAGGGGTAACTCGAAAAAGCATCCTCGAATTTGCTAGGGATCAAGGCTACCAGGTGACTATTTGATATTTTTACAACTTCAAAGTTAAAAAAAAAACAAGGAGAGGATTTAATAAAAGACTAATGTGTTTAGGTTGAAGAACGGGCGATTCCAGTCGATGACGTGGTTGATGCTGATGAAGTTTTTTGCACGGGAACCGCAGTTGGAGTTGCTCCAGTAGGTAGCATCACACATCAGGACAGAAGGTAACCAATAGAATTTAGATAAGGAATTGAAAAGGATGTTAATAATCCATAGAAAACTGGAAGTGAGTGTACTTGTATTAATTCCCTGATTTATGTGAACTTATAATAAACCATGTGAATTTATGGATATTTGCAGAATTGAATTCAAAACAGAGGGAAACTTGGTTTGCAAAGAACTGTACTCGACTCTGGTGGGACTGCAAACTGGTCGCATTGAGGATAAAAAAGGATGGACGGTTGAGATCCATTAGCATCTGGAAGTCTTATATAACTTGTTTCATATATCAACAGTTTATCAATCCGTTTGCTATCCCAATTCCATTTACGGTGTACTTGAGTTGGAATTCGGTCTTCTTTTCTACTGGCAGTAGTTGCATACTGGTTTGGTTTCAATTCTATGTACTAAATTATCATAGTTGGAGTAAATTTAATTTCTAATTTTTTTCCCATTTATATAAATATGGTATCTATTTTTTCTCATAACTAATTTCAGAATTTCATACATAAATGTGATACTTTTTGTAAGCCCAATGCATTTCACAATTTTAACATGCCACAAAATATCACAATACCACATATTAAAATTATTAAATTAAGGCACGTATTAATATAATGCGATAATACCAGATAAACGTAGCGTTCCACTAATCAATGGCAATATGTACCCATAAAATATGAATATAATTACTGTTTGGAAATTGCAAAATAATAATAATAATAATAAATACCGAGAATACAAACTAGTTGAAAATTATTAATACTTGCCAAACTTTTAAATAGAGGAGATGGGAGGTTTTGGGATTAGATAAAGGGAGCATTAGCCCTCCTTTTATAATGAACATTAGGCATTTTTATATCACATAAATAAGTGATGTGTGATTAGAAATACATGCATCTTCTATTCAAAAAATATATATACATACATCTTATAAATATTCATTTATCTTCTCATAGGATTAAATATTGAGAACAATATTATTAAAAAGATAATTATAAAGTATAATGTTAATTGAATCTTAACTCGAATGATATAATTGTTATTGTAACATTTAAGAAAATATAAGTTTAAATATATCTAGATGTGTGCTATTTTTCGATTTATAATTGGTTTACTATAACCATATACAATACATATTATCTTTTATGTTTTTTCATATGTCAAATACATATAATATACAGAGTAGAAAAACTCGACTCAAACTTGAAAATTAATCCATTAATTATTAAAAAAATTGAATTATTTAAGTTACTATTCGAGTTACATTTTATAACTCAACTTAAATTTAAATTTTTTAATTGAGCTTATGAAATTATAACTTAAAGTCGTTTATTTTCAAGTCGAGTAATTTCGAGTCAAAAAGATCAATTTTTTAGTTTCATTTGATGAGACAAATCAATTATTCTTGTTATGGGTGTTAGTCCAAAAAGTAAACAACTGTATGATGAAATCAATTCTCTTTTTCAAAATTCACACTATTTACTTTTTCCGTTGAAACTGCAGAACGTGTATTATACGTATCAAACTGTACAATGTATGGAAAGGCCTTTGGTGTGGTCATATCTGTGTGGATCATAATGGGGAGGGAAATCATTTCTACAGCTATAATTGTAACCTACGTCACACCCCCACTATCTAATTTTGCACTGCCACCTATACATACGTTTCTAAAGTACCAGTTTCACTTCATCCAGCTATCACTGTAATTCAATATGATGAATCCCTGAAAAATTGAAAACCAATGAGATGACTAATGGATTCTGGAAAGAAGCAGCAAGAAGCGAGAGCATGCATACCTGATTTGGGTGAACTGTCATCTTTATCTTGGCAACTTTCATCATCTTTGCGCTGCCTGTTGGTTCCAACTCTGGAAAAATCCTCAGAAATGGTCAAATCCTTTGTAATGTACGCTAACTGACAATATGCCGATCGCAACTGATTGTAAAACCCTTCTTCCCTCCCCATTTGTTCATCTCGTCGATCCATCTCTATGAGAACCTGTTACAAAGAAACGGTTGGGGGAGTTGTCTTGAGAAAGAGAGTGGTAAGGTATTCCGATGCTTACCTGTGCGGGGCTCCTCTTGAAAACCTGGGAAAACCTCTTCCTGCAGTACTCATTGAAGAGGAGGGAGAAAACTATGAGAGGAATGGTGAAACCAGAAGCAATTGGTGCTTCTTTCAGGGCGAACACCGCAACTGCGATGACCTGTGTCAACACTAAAGAGAAGATTGTTGTGTTGTGGACAACAGGCCAGAACAGTCCCGCACTTTCATATTTTGTTACATATACATGGAGAATCTGAAAACAGAAAATGCATATATAAACAAAATATTCCTGTAACATCTTCATGCACATGAGAATGAATGGGGCAAAAACAAACCTGGTTTCGATAGACGAGGAACGCGAGAGCAAAGTAAATGAGCAAGAAGGGCAAGATTAAGGGTGCATGGATAGCAAAAGTGAAGCCCAGGAGTCCAAACAGAAGCATTCGTGGAATTTCAGTATGGTGCGGGAAGTTTAGAGCAATATTAGTTGGCTCTTCCTTACTTCTTAGAATGAATTTTCTGAAGAAATTCCAAGTAAGACTAAAAAGTTGTATTAATTCACTGGCCAAGCTTGCCCAACCTGATGACAGAACATAAGTCGTAAAGAAGGCAGCCTGCAGATAGAACAATAGGTACAGTTACAAGTTGAAGATCCATACAAAAGGCATCTTTTTTCCTACGTGAATGTGGTGATGAAAGAAAGGGTGTTAAGGCAACTATGAGGGAGTGATGGGAATTTACCTGGTCAGGCATTTGTTTGGCAAGTTGAAAAGGCAACTCTTGAAGTTTCGAGAAAACACTCATTTGCTGGATAAAGGATCCGGACAAAACGTTAACGAAGAAAACATTCCAGATTGTAAAGTTCAAAACTTTAATGCATGCACTCCTTTTCCTCTCGCTACGCGAAACATTTCCCTCCATTTTGGATAACATCATCATGATTGGTGGAACAGTATACATAAGCACTATCAGAATCACACTCGGCAGGTAACCTGTTACCACCCGGTTTACGAACTCGCTGCTCAACACCACAAACATGATAGGTTTACAAACAAATCAAAATATTGCAGGTCATCTACAATAATTGCATCAGGCATCAGCCTTGCACAAAGAAGTAGAGACTAACAAGCTAACACTGATTTTGCAATAGAGATATACAGACCCATACTCACTTTTCTAGAAGTCTTCTAAATTGTGGAAACCAACTTTTTAGTACATCTTCTTGTGTCAAGCCTTGCACAAAGGCAACTGGAAAACAAAACACGAACACAAGGGCCAAAGCACATAGAAGACTTGCTATTTTACGAACCCAGACTTGTTTGTATGGTATGCCGAGGTTTGACCAATAAACATCATGTGGCTCTGGAGCTAGTTGTGTCACCCATAACATGGGATTCCATGATTGAAGAACTTGTGCAGCAATAACAGCAGCATAACGATTCTTAAAGAAAACAAAAGCAGCTGGACATTCCTGCATCAAATGCCAAAATAACAGAGTATATCACAATGACATTGAAGATATCGTAAAGCTCACTGCTGAATCTCCATATCCTTTCAATAGTGAGAATCATCGGTTACAGTAAACTCTGGCCTTTATGTAAACAACAGAAAACCAGTTGCTCAAATGTAGAATCAAACGACATAAATTCCTGGGGCCTGGGGGTGGAAAAGAGCAGATCTATATCCCACTAAAGAGTTATTTGTTATCAGAGGCAAGCATAATTATGTCCTTTTTAGGCATACCAACTAGAAATGTGAAATCAACATTATTAGACTAAAAAATTCCAGGATTGTTAACCTTTTCTATTTGAGTTGGGTGCAAGTCATCAATTCTGGTTTGACTTCTATTGTTGTCTTTGTGAATCACCTTAAAGGTATGTGCAGATCCTCCACAAAGATAACATGGCTTATCATCCCGTACATACTCTGTCTCTGTGGGTCTTAGCATTAAGTACATCTTCTTGGCATCCTTCTGCAAAGACAACATTGTCATAGAATATGCATAGAACTTGTTACAGATTATGAACATTGTGTGGTAAGCAGTGAATGTTTAGAGAAGAATAAGCATATAAAACTTGAAATACCTTTAGTTTATGAAATGTACTAGGCCGATATACCATCTGGTGAGCCACATAGGTATCGGGATAATAAGTCGAAAAGAAACTTTCCACCGATTTACTATATGAATCATCCTGGGACCACGGAACGCCACGGACTAGAATTGTGAAATGACTTGGATTGAGATGAGATCCAGTAATATGTGCTAGCCTCATTTTAGTGATACTTTTATACTCCTACATAGAAGCAATAATCTTCAAATGAATGCAAGAAGGAACTTAAGAACGCATCAACAGAGGGAAAAACTATACGAGATTATTCGGAAATAATGCATTTTGGTTTGAGCATCCTTACTAAGTAAAGCAGAACAAATGCTGAGAAGGATATGACGTACATTGCAAAACAATGTGCCCAAAGCCTGAAAAAGAAAACATTAAATATATGGTGGGTTTCCCTTAATCAATAACAGAACAACCGTAATGGATCCAAAATAACATACATTTTTGAACCTTCTTCTACATTTCCAATAGTAAACACATCATATGGTTCTACACGGAAACTCTTGTGCTCCATGTCTCTTCCATAATAATTCACCGGAAGGACTAGACAAATGCAAACAACAGTAGCAATGATGAATATCCTAAGACTGTAAAGAACGGAGTCAGTGAACCGGCAAAAGCAAAATCAGACACAAACCAATGATAATTGAAATACCAAAGAAGTTTTAATGACCTGAAAACTACTATTCTCATGAAAACTACAGCATCAACACCACCAGCTTCTAATAATTCTTCATCGGTTGCTTGCCAGGCACGCATGAGCCATCCTGCCGAGGGCACGAATCTATGAAGGCCGAAAGGATCATCATGCTGGATCGGTTCTGAAATAAATCTTCGTGTGAAATACACACTTGCATTGCTTGGTTGTTTTCTTAGCACGGAATATAATGAAGAAAGCACAACACATATAGATATATTGATTCCGGCAGACGTTACAAGACCACCTATGTCCATCTCAATCCCCTAAATCCTTTTTCTCAAGCTTCAGAGAGTCAATTACTCAAGCACGGGGGCATGGAATTACACCATATCCCTTTCGTTTTGCTCCAAACACAGGAATGCCTTATTATGACAATGGTAATGCAGAAACAAGTAGCCTAAGCTAATATCTTGGCCAAAAAGAAACGCCAAAGAACTTTGAAAAGGTTCCCAAATGCAGAAGCGAAAATTATTCGCTTAAGAAGTTGGAAACCATCGGAAAAGGAACAACTTCAGAGCCTCTTTGTGAATTGAACGCCAAACGCTACGTTTGTGCTTCAAAAAACATTAAACAAAAAGGGAAAAAAGAAATTGAGAAGAAAAACAAAATTGACCAATTTTCAGAGAAATAAATCTTTTAAGGAATCTATCATCACGTCACCTTTTTGTTGTTGTTGTTGTTGTTGTTATTGAACGAGTGATTTAACAATAAACACGGAAAATAGGGAGAACGCTATAAAATTTCCTACCGCGCGACAACTAAGGGGGACAGTACAAAAGAAAAATATGAGATCCTGTCTGTCCTTATTCTCAACTAGACTAGTGCAACCGCAACTGTCTATCTTTGGTCAGTCTTTTCTTTACTCTTCCCCTACAGTTTTTATAGTTGCTGTATCGCCACATATTTTGTCAATGTCTTAAACACCGGATCACACTTCCCAATATTTGTAAACCAAAGTTCCTTTTTGCTTTGTTGCTTCAAGTTTTTCTTTTTCTTTTTCAGGGTCCTAAGCTCAAACAACAAAAACAAAACGACCAACATTAATCCAAGCAACTAACAAAACATAACTGGGCAATTGAAAACCCTAATTACAACAGAAACAACTGTCAGTCAAACGGTACAAGAGCTCGTCGCGATGCCAAGTGACAGGATCCTGATCACCGGCAGTTCGCCTTTGAAGACAAAGACACAAAAACTGGTTGAAGTTAGCCGTGGACCAGAGGTGGGGTTAGGACCTGCAACGTGCGTGACGGAACAGGGGTACGAAATAGTAAGGGCCCAAAAAATTAAATTTATTACTATTGTTATAATAAAAAAAACAAAATATTATAAATTAATGGTAAAATTTTTAATCCCAAAATCATAAAGTTTACGGTCGAATCTTGTAAAGATTTTCTAATTAATAAAGTTATCTTTAAAAAAAAAATTAAAGACCTCCTTTTAAAAATTTACACCTCTAACATCCTAACCCCTGTTTGTCGGGGACGAGGTCACAATGATCAAGCAACAGAACAATCCGCTTACAAACGTAAGAAACGAGGCTCCATGTGATTTCCCATACAACTGAAAACGGATGGAGGCAACACAACCAACGTTCATCCCTCCTTTAATCCTTTCACTATCCGAGCCCCGGTGAGAGGTGACCAAACCAGTAGCCGTGTTCCCATAGATGTCAGAGAAAAGAAACTCCAAACAAGCAAATCCATAAAGAGCGGCTTAAACACAACTAAGAGGCAAGTTCCAGTAATCAAAAAGCTTGGACGAGAGGAGAAGAAGCATAGGAAGGATAGCGGACTGGCGGTAGAAGAACCGAGCAAGGAAGAAAAGCAAGAAAGAGGAGAAAAAGAGGAAGGTCAGACATAATACATCATTTTAATATTTTTAATAAAAAAATCAATTAACCTTACGTTATACATTTGATGCATCCAAAAATCAACATTCACAACAATTTACATGATTTATTTATTTCTTAAACAGCTTTTCAGAGTGTAATCGGTTATTATTTAATCAAAACACATTTCTTTATCTTCCAATATTGTCATACCCTTATATTATACATCAGATTGTATTTCAATCCTTTATTTTAAAAATAAACAAAACATTTTTGTATATCAGAAAAATGAACAGGGTTATCCTTATCGTTAATTATTCATGCTAAGTTACTGATTTACATTTTAACAAATTAGGTAAATTTTAAACATGAGTTGGATTGAAGATGGTTTTGGGAGTTTTGTGTTGATTAAAATCTATCATTGTTAGTATATATATATATAAAACATTATCATAAAGTATGATATAAAATTAAGTGGTCAGTTATATTATATGTGTTATAGGTATTAAAGTATCATGGAATTAATTTATAATTTGATGAGGAGTAAAATTATAAATATTTTAAAGACATATATAACATTCAATCTATATAAAGAGGTAGTGATCCTCAATAAATAAGTTAACTTGTATTAATTTTATTTCTCTCATAGAGTTTTTACGGCAAGAGAATTAAAATTTATCATCTTGGAATATCATAAAAAAGACTCAAGATTTTAATCTATCAATTAATTTAGGTACGCTTCTACATCTAGTATTCTTAATGATTTAACATGATTGATCTTGAGTTATTGATTTTATATTTACTATGATTTGCTTCTAACATTTTGTTCATTTTTCATATAAAAAATTAAAACATAATTCAATATACAATAAGATGATACTTTTAATTTATCTTAACAACAACACTAATTATAAGCTAACGGCAAGTATAATGATCTCACAATAAAAAAAAAGACACACTAAGGTTTTATATAAAAAAAACTTGAAAATTTACGAACAAAGAAATAAATATTTTACTAATATCGAAAAATACAAAAATATAAGATAATTGTGTTTAACACAACTGCCAAATCTTGATCAATTAAAATTTAATGATGCTCTCTAACATCTATTTATGTGAATAATTATTTAGTTATAAAGAAAACTTACTTAATAAAAAAATCTATTCAAATTAATTTTTTACTTTTAATAAATGTTTGATAAAAATATAATCCTTGTATAAATTCAATATGCCACAAGGTACCATACCTGTGTATGATGCTATAATCTACCATATATCCTAATTTTTTCTTTTAATTTTATTTTTCATTAAATGAATTACTCTATAAATTTTTTAATTCAAAAACATATAAAATTTTAATTATAAATTTCTAACAAATTACGATAATATATTATTTTAAATGATAAAGAGTAATGTAAAAATAAAAGACATTCTAAACATTAGAATTTGATGGATTCGGAAAAACAATGCCGAATGACATACGGCAATGAAATCACAAATAGCTTTGTTCGTGGTCCGCGGAGCAGAGCTTATTTACAAAATAAATAAAAAAATATAATATGCATTTGACTAGATGAGTAGCTGACCGTGACATATACTATATAAATTTTAATAGATAAAAATATTATAACCTAACGCTCTTGCTCAGCACGATTAGCCGATGATAATTTGCGAACCCAGTTGCTTAGCAGTTTCCTGCTTAAAGTAAACACATTTTGCTGGTAACTCATCTTGATCCCACCGTTGAAGCTCAAACGTTCGACGAAATCCTTGATTCGTCGCATTGCAACTTGAATTGTTCTGTGAGACATGTTGGCAAAACAAACCCTGAACCACCCTGGTTCGAAGCAATGGAATGATGAACCACACGAAATATTCAATCTTGCATGGCTTATAATTTCGTCCCACGGCTTCGTTTCTGCCTCCAATGTGTTAGAAGATAAGAGATGTCTCATATCAACCCAGGAGAACAAGACTGCATTGCTTTTCAGACAGCCTATTCCCGACTTTTTAAGGCCCGAAACCAGCATCTCTTTCCTCTTCTTAAGCCTCTTTTGGTTCTCCTTCATGTATTTGCAGGTCATGAATTTCTTGTCGGCTAGCACGTTGGAGAGCAGGTACTGAGTTTGGGACGAAACGAGTCCGAAACTCGGCATTTTAGTTGCCGCACTAATAACTGTTTCGTTGTCGGAATAAATCATGCCAACACGAAACCCTAGTAAACCGTAAACCTAGATCCTTGGAAAGGCTGTTAACGATGTGAATGTTATTCCATATATCTGTGCTTTCGAGTTTAAGGTCCATTGCGGCCTCTATAATGCTTATGAAACCAGGAGAGTCGAATACGGTTCCTGAAAAAACTTCATTCGCTTATGATATGAATATTTTTTGCCATAGCAAATGCAATGAGGTCGTTAATCTCATCTTTAGTTATCGTTGTGCCGAGTGGGTTCTGTTAGGAAATAAACTAAGTACAAGTAATTTCCCTATAACCAGATTAGTGAGAATGCGAAATAAAAGCGGAAAAATAATGTCCGAAATTTGATAACGGAGTTCAGCCAATTTGTGCTTACGTCTCCGGACTGCTGCAGATCTTTTACTAAGAGAAAATTTACAGGTGTTTACACAACACACTTGAGAGAGAACTAGAAGATTTTAGGATGATTTTGAAGCTAAATGAGCTAGGGTATTTATAGTTGAAACTTAGGACTAAACTTGTAATTAACCCTATAAAAAAATACCCCTTAGCAGCCCCTTAGCAGCCCATGTTTTTTTTTTAATTAAGCAGCCGTCGGCTGCTAAATTTTCTTTGACCAACAATCTCCCACTTGAAGACTGATTTCAATCTGTCTTCACACCTCGATCAATGCAGCAGCATTTCTGGTCTTTTATTCTAGCATGCCAACTGAAGCTGAACACAACTTCAGTTTTTCTGTGGTCACCGTCTTTGTTAACATATCTGCCGGATTTTGAGCTCCACTGATCTTTTCAAGTTTCAAAATCCCATCTTCCAGAAGAGACCGGATAAAATGATATCGCAGTTGTATGTGCTTCGTCCTGGAATGAAAAGACGGATTCTTCGCTAGATGGATAGCACTTTGACTGTCGCAATACAAGACATTGTTTTCTTGTTTCTTGCCTAACTCTTCCAAGAAACTTTGGAGCCAGACCATCTCTTTGCTGGCTTCCGTAACAGCGACATATTCTGCTTCGGTTGTGGAGAGAGCAACTATCTTCTGTAGTTGAGAAACCCAACTCACTGCGGTTCCTCCTAGAGTATAGACATACCCTGTAGTGCTTCTTCTGATGTCAACATTTCCGGCTAAGCCAGCATCTACATAGCATGTCAGTATCGTATCTCCACCTTTGAAACAAAGTGCTTTGTTTGTGGTACCTCGCAGATATCTGAGGATCCATTTGACTGCTTCCCAGTGTATTTTGCCTGGATTATTCATGTACCTGCTAACAGCTCCCACTGCTTGAGCAATATCTGGTCTGGTACAAACCATGACATACATCATACTTCCAATTGCTGAGGCATACGCCACCTTCACCATGTGTGCACGTTCTTCCTCCGTCTTTGGTGACTGTTCTTTGGAGAGTCTGAAATGAACACCTAAAGGTGTACTTACTGGTTTAGCATCTTGCATGTTGAACCTGGAGAGTACTTTGTTGATGTACTCAGCCTGTGATAACATCAAAGTCCCCGACTTTGTGTCTCTCTTTATCCT